ATTAATTGTGTAGTAAGCTCTAAGAACTTGAGCCATTGGTTACTAGAGGTGGCCTTATAATCAAATATTTGACAACTAATGTTAGTATGAAGGCGAGAAGGCTTGCTATAAGCGTTGAGAAAAGTCCAAGAGATAGAAAGTATTAGGTGGTTACTGAGAGTGCTAGTTTTACTGTTATCAAGATTGTATGAAAAAAGGAATTGTATGTTAAAGGTGTTTGTCCAGATGTAGTCAATTTTACTAGATTTGTTATTATTAGACCAAGTAAAGTAATTGTTGTTTAGATGTGCACCAATATTAAACATGTTGGAATGGTGTAGAAAATTAATAAGTTTAAATTTGGAAGAAGAACTGAATATGATATCATGTGTATTAAAGTCTCCTAAAATAATAGGTTGCAAGTTAAGTTGTTGAGCTTGTAATATTCAGTTAATGACTATATTTTGGATAAGGTTGTGTCTAGTAGAGTCAAATGAGAAGAGATAGATTGAGATTATGCAGAGTTTGATATTGCTTTTAAAGAAGAGATCTAGTGCTATAGCTCCACCAGGGTGTGTTAGACAACTATAAACATAGGGCTTAAGATAGTTGCGAATAATGATAGCTGCTCCTTCTATAGAGTTATAAAGTTAGCCCAATAGTATGTGTAGAAGTTATTGTTGCAAAAGAAGAGTTTGGTTTTATTTGAAATTTTGGTTTCAGTAATACTAGCGATAGAGATATTGTGATTGAAATAGTAATCTTGCCAAATTTGTCTTTTAGAAGAGGTATTAAAACCTCTAATGTTATGAGTAGCTATTGTAAGATGTAGATCATGTTGATTAGATGATGGGGTGTAGTCCAGTTTAGAAGAAGGTAAGGAAGGGCTTGAAGGGTTTGTGCTAAGGCTTAGTGAGGTTGGAGGGTTTATGGGTAAATTAAAAAAGAAAGAATCATCAATAAAAGTTGATAAATAGAGTTATAATTTGATTTAAGTTGCACTTTATAATGGCTATGGAGATATTCAAGAAAATAGTAGTTTGTGTGATTTGGTAAAATTCCTTTATGAAGAAGGTATATATGTGCTTCAGAGAAGAAATAATCAGTACAAGTTAATTTTAAAGATATTTTGATATAGTAGTTTAAGTAAAATTCAGGGTATTCTTCTTGTATATAGTGCAGAAATTTGCTGATAGTTTGTAGTAAAGGTAAAAGTTGCAATCTGTGATAATGAAGAAATTTGTTAAAGCATGTATTTGGATCAATTTCATAGTAACCATTCCACTATCTTGCATAAGATAGTGATAATAATGATGTAGGGTTTGTGCGGTATTCATCACTATTGTAGTCATCTTCTAATATTTTTTCATCAGAGGAGTTAGAGAGTTGATTGTTGTTGGTATTTAGTGTGCTAGGTGCTACTTCAGAAGGAGATGATGTTATGAAGTCTGAAGTAGATATAAGGGTGTCTTTTGCTGCGATCACTGTATGCCTGGCTTGCATGGCTCCACAAGGATCAAAGGTCACCTGGTTGTTCATTAGAAGACTGTCATTATTTTGACCCTTCTGGGTTTTAAAAAAAATTTTTATTGGCTATTGTTTTATATAATCTGTATATATATATATGCTAATTGCTGTAATAGAATTTTTTACAGTAGTTCATGACAGAAATTATGATAATTCCAGTACAAAATTTAATTTGAACTTGACTATAAACTATGTCTTACTAGAGAAGAGTATTCTTAAATTGCAACTCATAATGAAAATTTTTAATACAAACTAACTTAACATATACTATGTATAATAACTGGAGTGGTAAATAAGTTTTGTAGCTGAGTTTTTTTACAGCAACTCATAACAGAAATTATGATACTAACAAACAACAAACAATTAAATTTTATAAATATAATTTATTTTAAGAAAATTATATTTATAATACTGTGTTATGTAACACCTTATGCTATATCTCAAAAACGTACTAAGTAAACAGGATCAGGTCCTCTAAGTAAAAATGTTCAGGACCCCAAAAACCTCATGAGAACTGAGATCGGGCTCTATCAGGCCCTTATAGTAGCTCTATATTATATTATAAAACAAAATAAGTCTCTAATTTCTAACCCTAACCCTAACCTATCTCTAATTAAAACTATATAGGTGTTATATAACATGGGTGTTATTAATATAATATTTCTTTATTTTATTTATATACTATAAAATCTCAAAATAGCATTATTTCGAATCTTGGCTCAAATTAAGCTTAATTCGGGCCGGAAATTGTAATTTCATCCTGTGCGTTATTTCAAAATTTTAAAATACATATTTATTATTTAGATCCAGTTCCAGTAAGTAATGGAAGTGGACTGGACCAGTCCAGTCCAGTAGTGGTCCATTGGACCGGTCCAGTCCAGGGACCAACACTGGTTAGAGATGTGCCTCTCGCACGAAATGCGATGTCATAATAATTACTTATATTATCTCGCGAGAATCAATAAAATGATATCAGCATTTCGCGCGAGAGACACATCTTTAACAATGACCACTGGATATGCTGAATATTAAAATTTTCAAAATTTACTGTTATAGAATCATAGTAATTTTTTAATTGATAGTAGGCTTTTTCTATCAAATCGTTAGTTCGTTATAAAAAAAGTTGAATCTAAAGCCGGTAATCTTTTTATTATCAGTAGTTTCTTTCGTCAGACTCATCAAATACTTCCAAGTGATTAAATAAATAAAATAAAATAAAAATAAAATAAAAATAAAAAAAAAGAAAAGTTGACATGATATCGTAAAGAAAATTTTTGTTGCAACAGAATCGACTTATGGAATCGCTAGCGAAAATTGATTTGCGGAAACCAGCGAGTAATTTTTTAAAATAAAATCTTTTTTATAGGCAATCTACAGTAATTTTGTAGCTGCTATTTCGCACTGAAAGTAGCATAGGTAATACGAAAATATTTTCAAAAAGTTATAACCTTAAAATAGAAAAACATATACCCAAAGTTTTTAAGTTTGGGAAAAATTTTTAAATTTAGGTGAACGAAGCAATGAAAATAATGACTATTTTTTTTTTTTAGATCGGTTAGAAATTTGTTGAGAATTCATTAATACTGTATTTTATTATCGTTAATTAGGTTTATGTTTTGATCTACTGTACATTCGAGCATTCATTTTACAAGGCGCCAGGTAGGGATGGCAAATGATTTAAAACATGATCTTAAAAAACATGATTGTTTGGTTTAAATAGTTTTTACATTTTAAACCATTTGACGTAATGAATGTTTTCTTGAAACGATATTATGGAACTTTTCCGGTACAGAAATTAACCAATCAGAAACAATTATTTCGGTCCCAGACTCAGCTGTCAATGTTTTAAAACGTTTTTGTGATTTAATTAAAAAACACAAAAAACGTTTTTAAACTGTTTTTACCATTCCTAGGTTAATATAGAGAGACTGTGATAGATCCTCCACTTCGCTCTGGACAAAAATTGGCAATGGAAAAATTTATTACCTAAAGTACAGATATACAGTTTTCGTTTGGCATTATATAAATAGTTCCGTAGTAAACTATGACAAATAAATTAGTTTGCGGTCGATAGATAAACCACGTATTACTAAGGAAATAGCACACAGACTTTTTATTATACCGTATTACCGCGAAATAACGATCATGGGCGTTATTTTGAAACTCGCATCCCCTAAAAATAGCATAATGGTTTTCGAAATAAGATAACGAACGATAACGCCCATGCGCGTCCCGAAATAGCGCGCACCGTGTATAGTATACCATATAATTGCGGTAATAGTCAATTCGGCGGATTTGTGGAATTTTACCTTAAAATATAACCCAATTACTTTATGGTAGAATTGTCATGGCAAAAAAAAGTCACGATCAGGTGATTTCTGATCATAATTCAGATAGATCTTGAATTAACGTGATTACTAATTAAAATAATTTGTAGAAAAATTTTTTTTTATGCAAAATTTGGTTAATATTTTTTGAGTTACTATTATTTAAAGTTTTTACACACTTTTTATTATCAAAAACTTGTATGATTTTTGCTCCATAAATACTTTTAATCAAAATAAGAATCTTGTTATTTTGCTCCACGGAATTCTAAGTTTGGGAAGATAGGAAAATTTTTTCAAGCAAATTTTGTCTCAAAAAAAAAAAAAAAAAAAAAAAATGCTTTAGTATTTTCAAATAAACTATATTTTATTATAAAAGTTAATATTGGCTGTTTTTTCAAACTTTGATAAAAATTTCTTAATAATTACCAAGCAATTCCAAGTTTAAATCATTTTCGAATTCTACTATTTTATAGAATTAGAAAATACCATAAATGTGTGTATACAAGCAAGACCCGGGTCTATTTCACTCCACCAATTTTTAAACCCTTTAGTAGACCCCCGGGCCTAGCGCACGCTGAGAAGTTATTTCGTAAAAGGAAAAAATTTAAAATGCATTCACAATTTGTACTTATAATAGGTAGTTTAGAAAAAAACCGCATTTAATTAATAGAGATTCCGTGATTCGCAACCGAGTCTAATTCATGGTGGTTTACTTTGGGGATCTTGTATACGCACATTTACGGTAAATGAGAATAAACAAACCATTATCAAAGTTCGTAGAAATTTAGATGAAGAAAGCAAAAAAATTTATTGCTACTTGGTCAACAAATTACAAGGTCTAGTATACAAACGGATTTTATTAGAGTTGAAATTTTATTTTTTTAAATATAAATTGTGAAAAAATGACGTTTACAAAGATTCGATCATAGTAATTTGAAAACCATTTTAATAAATAACATTTCAAAAAAATTTCATATAAGGCTATACAGAGTTAATTTTTCAAAAAAATTTCATATAAGGCTATACAGAGTTAATTTTTAAAAAATAATCCAAAAAATCCCACTCGAATATCATAGTAAATATACGTAGTCAAAAAATTTTACGAAATGACCTGGTCGGGTTGCCAAAAAAATTTACAAAACCATAAGAATTCGAATTTCCATAGAAATGCTTTTACAAAATTCCCACGTAGTGGCTCAGCAAAATCAAGTTTACTAATTTCACCCACCACTTCTGATTGGTTCTACTAATTATTAACATATATCAATTTTATAGTGCTCCGATAGTGAAGTGATGGGGAAAATTATCAAGTTTTTGAATCTATCGATTTACAGTATCGGTATTGTGCTTTAATTACAAAATCTATTTTTACTTTAATCCGACATGAGGATGCCTGTTAGATTTATATATTTTTACTAAAAATAAAATTTGTATATTTAATGCCTAACGCTAATATTGTAAATTGATAGATTCAAAACCTTAAAAATCAAGTTTTTGTTTGATTTTGCCGTGCACTATTCCCACGTTCTAATGATTAACGTAAATGTGCTACAAATCGATAAATATTTATATTGTACACTGGTTTGGTTTTTTTTTTTTTATTCTCTCGCATGAAAACGATAATGAAGAGCTCACGAAATTTTTCACAATTAATTTCATACAAAAATTTTTTTTCATGTCGCTTCAGGAATTCCGTTATATCTACTTTTAATAATCGACGAAACTATTCAAGTCTTGAAAAGGCTACTGCAAATATTCCAAATGAAGAAATTAAATTCACTGCTGATATGTATCCACATTTAAAAAGGAATCCTAATTTCAAGAATGTAAGCTTTAAAAAAAAAAAATAATAAAGTAAAGTTGTACTATTTCATATCATGTTATCTGACTTGAGCTTTTAAAATCCTAAAAGCTTTCTCAAGATGATATTTCATATTTTCAATCGATTCTACCATCAAACGCATTAACAATTGAAAATGATAGTAATCAAGATGATCTAACTCCTTATAATGTTGATTGGTTGAGAATACACAGAGGGAAATCAAAATTAGTTGCAAAACCTAAAACTACTGCTCAAGTTTCTAATATAGTCAAGTATTGTAATGAGAAAAAACTGGCGATTGTACCCCAAGGTGGAAATACCGGTCTAGTTGGTAATAGATTTCGAATTTTGAGATTAAAAAAAAAATTTTATAAAAAATTTAAAAGATATTTTTATTTATTTAGGTGGTGGTATACCAATATTCGATGAAATCATTATTAGCACCAAGAATTTAAATCAAATAAGAGCGTTTGATCCTATATCCAGTATGAATTTTCAAATATTTGATATGTACTATTTATTTCCCGATTAGTGGAAATAAGAAGTAAATCCCAACGAGCTTGGGGCTCGAGGGGCCCCAGATGATTGGGTTATTCCCTCCTTCGAAGTGGGAAATAAGGGTATCATTCCTTGTTTAATACGTCATTACGGGGTTTTTTAGTGCTCGGCAAAATCAAAAAAACTTGATTTCAAAATTTAAATCTATCGATTTACAATATTATGTTGTGCATCGATTACAAAATTTATTTTTACTCTAATCTGACTTTAAACTTCTAAAGTCTAAAGTAAGATAGGATGCCTGTTAGATTTATACATTTACTAAAAATAAAATTTGTATTTAATGCCTAATACTGTAAATTGATAGATTCAAAAACTTGAAAATCAAATTTTTGCCTGGTCTTGCCGTGCACTAGGTTTTCAACTCAAATAACATCTTTTTATAACGTGTTTGTCATATTAACTAAGATAATTATAAACCAAATCTTCGCTTTTAATAGTACAATCACGTTATTAAAAGAATTTAAAAAACAAAAGCCCTTAATAATATGATATCATCGCGCCGACTAAGAGAATTATAAAACACTTCGTACTAAATAGCTCTATCGTGTTTTATTATGTCACCAAGAGAATTTTAAGACCTTTCTTTCCTATTGCGACAGCTGAGATTTTAAAAACTTTACCCAAATCAGAACTATCGTGCAAAATAAGAAAGCTATTTTCAAATCTGGTATAAAATTTAAAAATGCACCCAAGGAAAACAAGAATTACTGGAAAAATAACTTTTTTACTTATTAAAGTTTTAATTATAAATCGAAAAACTCCGTAATGCGATCATATAGAAAAGCGGAATAAAAATAATAACATTAGCTTACTCTGAGTTACGTTATTCATTTTTCTTCATAAAGGTACTCTTATATGTGACTCAGGTTGTATTCTTGAGATTCTCGATGATTATCTTGCAGAAAGAGGACACATGATGCCGTTGGACATAGGATCCAAGGGGAGGTAAATAATTATCCTTTTTTCATTATTGTCTGTACTACTGACTGACTACGGTTTATTAATACGTATATTAGTTGTCACATTGGTGGTAATGTTGCTACAAATGCTGGTGGGGTTAGATACGTGAGATATGGTTCCCTACATGGATCTGTATTAGGGTTAGAAGTGGTACGAATCCATCATACTTTCATAATTTATCACTATTCTGCACAAAAATAATGTTATTTCAAGTAGGTGCTTCCTGATGGAACTATATTAGATAATCTTTCAACCCTACGTAAAGATAACACCGGTGAGCTATTTTACATATCAAATATAGTCTTAATGCTACATATAATAATCTAAATTGTTATAAAATTAGGTTATGACATTAAACAGCTTTTTATTGGTTCAGAAGGAACGTTAGGAATAATTACTGGTGTTTCAATTTCAGCATCACGACGTCATAAGGTAATTGGGATTTATTCCTCCAACCCTATAAAAATATGTAGAAATTTAATGGAATTATGAAACTATGGAATTATGAAAATATAATAAACATTTAGTATAATTCCGTATAATATTTATAGAAGTTATATGATATCGATCAAAAATTCGTAAATTCTATAAAATTCCATTAAAATTCCAGCATCACTTTTTCGTATGAATAACGTTCTTATCAGGCAGGCAGGCATTGCCCGATAACTTATTAATATTATGCATAAACTTATTATATAATAGACAATTAACCTTGCTGTACTTGGCTTAAATTCCTTCAAGAGTATCCAAGATGCATTTATTACATCCAAAGAAATGTTGACAGAAATTTTATCAGGTATCCAAAATAAGTTTTCTTTAAAATTTAACGAATCTATAAGAGTTACTCAATAAAATATCATAATGTGGTATGTTAGCATTTGAGTTCTGGGATGCTCAATCACTTAAGTTGGTAAAAACTCACCTCAACCAGGGAGCAAAATTTCCATTAGATGAATATCCTTTTTATGTATTAATAGAAACAGGTGGTTCCAATAAAGATCATGATGAAGAAGTAAGTAATTGATTGAAATACTCTCTTAATAACTACGAGCAAGTAATTGATAGATTATTTAATTGCTTTTTCTTTCTTAGAAACTTGCTAATTTTTTAGAAACTGTTATGGAAAAGGGAATTGTTGAAAATGGAATTATAGCTCAAGACAATACGCAAATGAAGAGTCTCTGGTCAATTCGCGAAGGAATTCCTGATGCTTGTGCGAAAGCTGGTTCTGCGTACTTCTATGATATATCTATACCAATTCCTGTCATGTACAAGATTGTCGAAGATGTTATTAGTAGGTTAAAAAATGCTGGCTTATATGGAAAACCTGTAATGGATGTTATCGGATTTGGTCACGTTGGAGATGGTGAGTTTTTTTAAGAAACAAAATTCCCATGAATGCCTTTTTTTCTTTAACATTTCATTTGCATCATATACATACGTAGGTAATTTGCATTTGGCAATCACTGCAGAATCATATTCTCCAAAAATAATTAATTTGATTGAATCATGTATTGGCGAGTGGACAGGTAAGCAAAGTTCCATAATTGTTTACTGGTAATACTATTAAAATATTTACTAATTTTAAATTTTGATTCAGAAAAATACAAAGGGTCTTTGTCAGCAGGTATATATTAATTTATATATATTAATTTCTTTTTTTCTAAGTTTTTTTTTTTAACTTTTTATGTTTATATATACATTAAATAGAGCATGGTCTAGGTCTAATGAAGGCAAAAATTTTAAAAAATTCTAAGCCAAAAGCAATGGTAGACATTATGAGACAAATGAAACATATTTTGGATCCAAATGGCATTATGAATCCTTATAAATTCTTCCCTTACAAATAAAATACAAAGGGCCCAAAGGATATTATAGATAAATTATTCTTTTTTTTTTATATACATTTTCTGATTCTTTCACTCCGAAGATTTAAGTAACTTTATTTACCGGTAAAAGTTTTGTAATATAGCTTACTGTTTCTAATAAAGCTTTTAAACCGTTGGATTATTAACTAAATCACATTAGTTTATTATAAGATTATTCGTCTTTTTAATTTCATTGTAGCAGGATAAATGTTTATGTGACAAATATTTTTAATCATGCAATCTCGTAATGAACGTTTGAAAAAAAAAATTCACTTAATAAATGTAAGCAATATTCTTGCATGACGGAAAATTTTTGTTCAAATAATATTCAGTGGTTGTAATTAACTAGTACATTTATTCAAGATTTGTTAGTACGTATGTAAATGTATAACTAGGACCTTAATAAAGGAGGATAACAAGATATCTTAAAGTCCTTCATTAATATCCTCCACAAGTACCGTATAGCGTGGACTAAAGTAACCAGGGTACTTTACAATTTAAGCAGATATATGATGGGTATTATAGTCGGAGGGATACTATGGTCAGCGTAGGGGTATAAGTTGTACTATATGAGTGCCGTTTATATATTCTAAGTGGCTAATCCATCTTTAGTCCGGGTATTTTACATTCCCAAGTACAATTAATCCGTCTTTAGTACCCAGGGTAGTTTACATTATAAGCCTCTGAAAATCGAGAGGGATATTATAAAAGGGGGTCTTTTAGTCCACGTAATTGTCATATATTTATCACCGTTAACCATCAGTTTTAGGCTTGGTCACGTGTCATATTCGTAACTGTCTGATGATGAATCGGTATTATGAGCTTCATTTATAGTATCTTCACACCAAACTCGCTGCCAGAATTTATTTCAATTCTGGTATCAGCGGCTTCTTCCTAAGGCTCAAGTGGACCCAAGTTAAATCGATCGTTTTGAATGTACTGTATCTTTATAAAAATCGTTACGTACGTCGTCGTACTGTAACTAGTAGGGTTAACTAAATATTTAACCTAAAAATAAAGGTTCTTAGGATGTTTTCAGAGAGATTATCAATAGGGTAAGTATGAAGGCGTTCAAAAAAAAAAAAGCGTATGGTAACTTGGGAGTAACTAACGGAGCAAAAATGTAAGAATATAGCAAATAGTAAACTAAGACACGAAGTTAATAAAAAGAGAAATTGGCTCTAATAAAAAAGATCGATCGTACAAAGAAAGAAAATAAAAGTTTATAATAATTTGTTTGAAAAAGAACATTGCTTTTGGTTTTTCAAAATAAATAACCCCATAAAGAATGTAACGTTATTAATCTAAACCATGTGAGTCAGTAGAAACGCACCATGTTTTTTTTAATGAATCTTCAAACAAAAATAAATCAGCATAAACTTAACCAAATTTAGTAAAAATTTTTTTAAAAAAAATTTTTAAATTTAATTAAGTTGTTGTTGAATTATTCTTGTTTAAATTTTCAAAAAAATTTACTTGAAAAAATATGGTGCGTTTCTACTGACTCACTCTCATATGTTGCCTACTGCGGAATTCAATTGGAAAGTAATTCGTATTTGTAAAAGATCATAATGTATTCATACTTTATGAACCCAACTTGCCAAGCTTTTACAATTTTTACTGCGTAATTTTTGACAAAAAAAAAACTTCCGTCAAAGAAATAAATTTTTCTAAAATCACATTTCAAATTAGCAGCTTCTTCAGAAAATTGTGCAAACAAACCATCTCCTGAAATACTTTAGTGTCATAAAATTTATTCTTTAAATCAATTACAACAAATACTTGACAGTTAGATTTTTTAATCATGAATTGTTGAAATTTTTTTAATTTTTGCAAAAATATTTGTTCAAAATTATCTGGATTAGTTAATGTGTAATCGATCAAATCCAAGTCAGTCATATGGGTGTGAATTCGTAGCTTCATCACCATATGTATCTAATTTTGGGAGAGTAAGATACTATAGTGCAAAATTAGCTCCGATGGTGAACAGTGGCGATAGGAAACAATATACGTGAAGCAATTAATATTATGCACAGTGATAACGGTCAAGCGAAATTTTCGGGGTAATGATTTAATTAAGGGATCAGCAGTTGCAGCACATATAATAATAGGACTAAGCTAATACTTGTATCCTGACATTCTTCATTATACCAAAAATTTTTATTGTTTATATGGTCTATACTTTTTCTTTTAAATAAAAATCTTTGAAGTTCTTATTACTTTAAGACTACGTATAAATGAAATCAAGCTTGAAATTTATTGGTTGACTTGACCAATTTACAAAATATATATTTAAGTATAATTTAATACAGTAGTATTAATAGCATTTACTCATAATACCTTTAATGAGTTCTTGACCAATAGAAATATGATAGTTAAACACTTCTTAACGATTGTGCGAATTATGTATCGAAGTACAAAGATAAAAATATTTTGATACCAAAAGCTTCAGAATTCAAATCTACTTTATAAAATAATCTTTCTGCTGATTTTTAAATGGTTCAGCCTAGCCTTTACCAAAGGAGACAATATAGAAAATTTAGCTAATCATCGGACACTTCAATATGCTCAATAGGGCGACTTATTGGGTCACTTATTGCTAGAAAAATAAGATTAATAATTAGTTGGTCTAACTTCTTATAACTCATAATAAAAAAGGTATTCAATGCAAAGACTAAATAAAGTCTTAAATAATTTAATCCTTGTCATCACATTAAAATATAATTTAAGGCCATTGTTTGAGAGATAATATGCTTACCTGAATTTACTGGTTTAGGGAGTTTTTGAAAATTCAAAGATCGACTTGTATAAATAGCTTGTTTATGTGTTTGATAATTAAATCGAGTCGATTTTGCTTGATTT